GTAAATGGTGTACAATATGTACTCTGTGCTGTGTCTGTTTGGTTGCTCTTCTCAGATGAGGATCGCACGTACTTCATTTGCCTCGATTCAAGAACATACCAGCTGCTAGAAGACGTGACACGTCGCGTGGACATGTGCGCACTAATCCCACCACATCTGCAAAACCAGGGGCCGAATATTGGCCTGCAGAATCACCAGTCTCCTGGATTACATCGCCCACCAAGAGCCGGCCAATCCACGGAAGCTCATCATTCCGCGGAAGCAATTCACCCGCCGAGAGGAAGCCCATCCACGGCAGCTCATCAATCCGCGGAAGCAATTCACCCGCCGAGAAGCAGCCAGCCACTAGCAGTTGATACTAGTATGTCACCAGCTGGTCATTCATCGCTGGAAAGCCAGCGATCACAATCTCCCAGAGAAGACACGTCACCAAGACTCCACCATTCGTTGTCCGATACTCATCAGCAGGCACAAGCTACCCCGATACTAGAACCGCAGCATTCAGAGCCTCTCATGGCTGACCAATCACCGAGACTCCAACACCCACCGTCTGATACATATCAGCTGCCACAAATTCCTCCGCCGTCTACTGCAGAGACTGGAGTAAGTGCGCACTACCCACCAAGCACTGACGGAATTTCGTTGCAGTTGGAGACACGGGACGGTCTTGCAGCTACTGCTACTGCTACTGCTTCTGCTGCTCCTTTGCTAGCTGCTGCTGCTTTTACTGCACCTACTGCTGCTGCTGCTGCTGCTGCTGCTGCTACTGCTGCTGCTGCTGCTTTCACTACCCCTACTGCTGCTGCTGCTGCTTTTACTACCCCTACGGCTGCTGCTGCTGCTTATGTCGCATCTCCTTCATTCTCCCTAGAGTCCTCTTCAAACAGCATACCTCTTCACAACAGCGCCAGCGGTGGACATGATGAAGCTGTACTTGGGTTTTCGAAGTCGGCGGCCGTTGCTGTTAGCCCTGAGTCATCCCTCATCATGACACCGGAAATGGAAGCTGCCAGGTCTCTACGTTTCGACAGCTTGCCTAGAAACACCGGGCCACCACCCTTCCTGAGTTCCCGCAGCAGGACACCAAGCCAAGGTTCAGTGGATGAGCCACCCAGACAGCCCAACGGTGATGCTTCGATGAGGAGGCAATCCACTCGGAGCACACCGCCCACGCTCGACACTTGCCTTCCCGAGGAGCCCGAGCCAACAGCTGGCATAGCTACCCTCTGAGCAACAGGTGCCATAGCTGCCCTCTGAGCAACAGTTGCCATAGCTACACTCTGAGCGACAGTTGGCGTAACCGCCCCTGAGTGACAGTTGCCATAGCTACACTCTGAGCAACAGTTGTCATAGCGACACTCAGAGTTTATGGTGTACGTTACTCTAATTCAGCATGTCCATGTATTCTTAAATTCAGGAGTTGACTTGCAGCAAAGATGCCGGAAATCTCCTAGGCACAGTATGCTCGAACTTGTCACCAATCAAAATTATTTTTCTGCTGATAATCAGTTTGAAAGTTCAATTCACACCCACCCCTCTTCAGGCTCTTGTGTAATGATTAATGGGACAGAAATCAATGATGATGTTTTGAAATCATTAATGGCCGGCTTGTGACTGATTTTATAGCCTGGCAGCATTTTCTTGTTGACTTACAATTCTCTCGACATACATATAGATGTATTTGGACTGGATTCCTGCTGGTGTGATTTGGAAACTTCCCTGTGTTTTCACTTTGTCCTCTATGATACTTAGAAGTACCTTTTTTTGGATTAGCGGTACCCTTAGAATTATCAGCAATGTCCGAATCACAGTATTTTCTATAACTATCAATTTTGGGGTTTTCGAATCCCTGGTGACTTGTTTCAAATTTTCTATTACAATTCAATGCTAATGCTAGTGAATTTTAGAAAGGCCGGCTCGAAACCTGGTTGCGTGCGTGTGTGTGTGTGTGTGTGTGTGTGTGTGTGTGTATATTTGGGGAGATCTCCGCAACTCCACCTCAGCACGGCCCACGCAAGCGTTGGCGGGATGAGGTTGTGGACGATTTCAACCGCATTCATCCACCTATCCTGGAGAAGGAATGGCTCGACACTGCCCAGAACCGCTCGGATGTCTAATTTTAAGTCTAAGTGTGTATGTGTGTGAATGTTTTGCACAGAGATCCCCACGATATAATCGTGTGAGTCTAGTTGTAAAACACGGGAGAAAGTTGTAATCAGAATGTAGCTGCTTGTATATCCATTTTTCCACTGCAATTCGATTCCACTGATGCAAATTTCAAGGTGCGATTTAATGATAATATTACGTGACACGTATGTGGAAAAGTTGGGTTTTTTCTTGTCTGCAAGGCTTACTACTGGGTTGCTGCACGCTGTATCTATCAAGTCCGGCCTCTGTCTTGCAAAGAAACATTGTGGCATTTTCTTGCAGTACTCTAATTTCAGAAATTTTAGGTGCTCGATATTTTCGGTATGCGGCCAAAAGGCCGGGTTAGGTGAACAGAAATTGTAGGTTCAGAGAAGGAGTTCCGGATTATTTGTGTTAGTGTTTGTTCGCTTTATTGGGCGCGTTCAATTGCATACAAATCGGTCAATTCTAGAATTAGTTATTGTTGATGCACAGTTCGATTACACAAATTCCGTCGTTAGAATTGATTTTATCCAACTCCGTCAATTCCGTCAATTCTGAAGAGAGGCGCCGAATTTCTCTAATTCTGGCGCCAGAATTGCACACTCGGTGTATTACCGGTCTGGTCATGCATGACTCAAGTCAAGGAAGAGCCTCCCTGGCCGGTGTGGCGCGAAAGCAGGGCTACAACTGCATGTAGTTGCTACTTTTGTCTTCCCGAAAGGCTAATTGCCGCAGTTGCGTTTCCGCTGGGAGCTGATTATTAGACCAGATCATTTTGGGTGGTCCTTTCGCACACGCGTTCAGCTTTATCGAAGCCCAATATTGTTAACGACATGGTGCCTTCGCCGGGATGGACCGGTACGCGAAGCTGGGTCGACGCGCGCGGGAGGGTGTACGTGATATCTTTTCACGACCAATTTTTTTTGTGATATGCCATAAATAAAATGCGTTGTGACTGGCCGCGCGAGTCTTCACTGAAGAGGGGAGAGAGATTCAAAAAGGAATCTTGGAAAGATGACTCAATTAGCTATTGAACCGCCCAACCGTCGACATCCCTGAAATCCATAAACTCCACACACACACACACACACACACACACACACACACACACACGCACGCACACAAACACATATATACACATACACACACGCACACACACACATATACACACAATCCTGTGTTTACCAGCTTGTTCTTCAGCCATTTCAGGGACATGTCTTGGAGGAGCTTCTGGGGCACAGGTGGGCGATGGCATAGGAGCATTTTCACCACTGCAATACACCACGTCTATTTGCATTCTCAACATTGCAATAACCCATTGGGCAAAGGTGGTTGGATCGGAATCTGAAAGACCTGTGGGGGGAGGGAGGGGGGGGGGGGCATAATGGCTTATTCAGATCCTGCTGCCTAGTGTTGGCCTCAGTACCGAAACACATCACGTCATTCACAAAACTTCACTTTCATCAGACAACACGTTCTCCATCTATTCTCCAGTGGGTAGCCCTTTCCCAAAGGTGCTCGCCCTTTTTGGCCCTTTTTGGAAAAGCCCGTTTCTTTCGCCCTTTATTGCGTTTTTTGGTGAATATCGCCCTTTTTGAGCTTTTTTAGCTGAAAAAGTGCCAAAATCTGTTTGCTCATGCATGCGATTAGCCCTTTCCCAAAGGTGCTCGCCCTTTTTTCGCCCTTTTTGGCCCTTTTTGGAAAAGCCCGTTTCTTTCGCCCTTTATTGCGTTTTTTGGTGAATATCGCCCTTTTTGAGCTTTTTTAGCTGAAAAAGTGCTAAAATCTGTTTGCTCATGCATGCGATCACAGTTTTCGAGTGCTCGATGGGCCTTGGCAAGCCGCTTTTTTGGGGGGCAACAAGTTTTTGAAGTTGGTGAAGCTTGTACCCTGCATACACAATGCTGTAAAAAGTGTTTTTTTTGTTGAAATTTACTTCCTGTTTTGCCTTTCGTGGACCCATAAAGGGAAGAGTGCGGATTCATTTCTCAGCTTGGGTTCATATCTGAACATGTATCATGGCTATGCTTCACTGAAAAAGAGCACTTTTTGCCTGTTTTCACTGAAAAAAGAGCACTTTTTCAGCATATTTTGAGGGACGCGAAAAGCACTAAGTGCGAATTAAAAGAGCACCTTTGGGAAAGGGCTACCAGTGATCTCTCTTGCTCTGCCTTGTATACTAGATTTCAGAAATTTTCGGTGCTCAATATTTTCCGTATGAGGGCAAAAGGCCAGGTTAGGTGAACAGAAATTTTCGGTGCAGAGAAGCAGTTCCCTATTGCGTTATGTGTGTTAGTGTTTGTTCCGTGTATTGAAATTTTAGGTATGAAACAGATGCACCGAAAGTACCGAAAATAAAAGTACACCGACAATTTGTGAAATTACAGTATTCTGGAGTGATGTCATGGAAACGGTGGCATTATGTGTGGGTAGTAATTCGCCTTCACCGCCTCTTTTATGAGCGTCTTTGCACACCCAGGGCCAGGCACCACCACCACACGAATGTGAATGCTTGTGTGTGCGCAAATGCACTGACTATGAACAAACTGAGTGAGAGCTGCATGAGAGTAAGAGGCTAGGTAAACAACAACGCTATGTCGACATACGAAACTTCAGTACTGCACTACACTGCACTACAGTAGTAGTCAGTACTGCACTACACTGCACTACAGTAGTAGTCAGTACTGCACTAGCCCACGTTCATAAGAGGCCAGACAAACAACAACGCTACATCGACAGCCTATGCTGCACTAGCCCACGTTCATAAGACTATTAACCTTTTGAGCACGACGCTACCTGAATGCCGCCCCACGCCAACACCTGCAAAAATCGCGTTTTTCCTATGAAAGTAGTAGCTAGCTGTTCAAGGATCGATAACTTTACCTTTCTTTGGACGAATTCCACGATCTTGAGCTTCCTGCAAAGGTCTTGAGGCGAGGAACAAAATAATTCCAAGCTCAGCTCGGAGCGACACCAAACGCCCATGCTACAGTCTGGCAAACTTCACGCACGCGCTCGACAGACTTGAGCACGGCCAGGAGATCAAATCCTCAGCTGCCATTTCACTCTCCTTGCTCGTATCGAGCTCAACTTTTTTTGAGGACTCCCCAGATCCGCTGCCATCATTTGAATCTAGTTTCCATGGCAGCAGATAGCGCGAAAATGATCGAAAATGGAAAATACGTGTTCTGCAGAGTTCGCAAAAAAATCGATTTGAATTTGCCGTGTCGAGTCGCATATCTCAACAACCCGGGGTCGTATCGCTTCGACGATTGTTTCTATCGCATGCGCAAGCTCAGCTGAGAGTTTTCTCTTGCAGATACATATTTCGATCGTGAGAATCGGCCAAGAATTGACCGAGTTACGATACTGTAAATATACAAAATTTCGGCGCTGCAAAATTTCGGCACCTCACGATTTTTGACATTTCGGCGATGATTTATTTTCGGCGAGGGGTAGAGGGCATGTACATGTATATAGTGCGACAGATGCTGTGAAAAATTTCATCGGCGTTTTAATTTAGGCGTTTTGGGTCGGTGCCGAAATTAAATAGCTGCCGAAGATTTGTATACTTCCTCCGTATACAAAAACTTCGTGATTTTTTTTAAGGCTGCGCATAGCTCTGGAATTGTTCCGTTGGTCTTGGAATAACACTCGTGGCATTGTCTAACCTGTTTACAAGCTATATACAAAGAAAAAAGCAACTCTCACGAATGAGATTGAGTTTATTCAGAGTCTTCTTCGCTCCTGTCATTGTCACCTGCGAACGCTGACTCCGCATCGCCAAAAGTCGCTGCTTCGCTCGCATTTCGTTCAGATTCTTTTCAGCTGCTATGATGATCCGACGCGGGACTTTGGCTAGCGTACTCTTCATTCCCAGAGCTGTGTACGAATCGGTGTCGACTATATTCAGTCGTTCCAACCCGCGACCTCCATTATGCCGTGAAACGAGTCGCTCAAGCAAATCCACACGCTTCGCATTTTCTCGGCAGGAAAATCCTCCCAACATTCTACAACGGCTTCGACGAGGTCCCTGCGATTCCCCTCCTAGGCCACAACGGAGACGTCTGACTGTAGTGGAGAGAGGCAAAGAAAGCCAGGTCGTCGACATTCCGATCCGGAGTCTGCGCTGGTTGCACGACGACTGAAATGCTTCATCTTTCCGTGCGAGTGGAACCGATTTATGTTCTCACGCTGCGTATGGGGTCGCGCACCGAAAGTACGAGCCTGGCCAGTTTCAAGGCAGCGAGTGCCGCGTGAGTCGTGACTCCGTGCTCCAGGCCAGCGCGAGCTCCACTTCGTCACGGTGTCAGTTTCGAGCAAGTAAGTGTTATTTTTTTGATATTTGACTCGTGAGTTCCTGTCGGCAACGTCATCACACGCATGGCTTCCGTGGAGTATCTGTTCGAGATCAACCAAACCTACCTCAACATGAATGTGCGGTGTCGATGACAGCCTTTGGCGCGGTTCGTTGAGGAGGTTCTTGCTCAAAAACACCGTTGAAAAAAAGTCACGAAGTTTTTGTATACGGAGGAAGTATTTACAGTAGTTTGAACTCACGCGGTTCATGCAAATCGCGTTTGTACGCTATGTACACTCACGACGTAATAATACGTCATGCGTGGGTGCAGTGACACTGTACGTGACGTATTATACGTCATGCGTGCTCAAACTGTCTGCTTTGTCAAAGGGTTAACTTTTAAAAAAAGGCCGGATAAACAACAACGCTACATCGACATAAATGCTGCACTAGCCCACGTACATGTAGAGTACGTATTCATGTACAGTACGTATTCATGACGTTGAACGGTTGTTCCAGTGATGTTGTCAGTCCGTACGGCCGTGTCCATGACATGAATCATGGCACTTGAGCTGAGCTGGCCATTTGAAGGTTTTGGGGGAAATTTCCTGTGATTAGCGGAAAGAGTTTGGGAAAACTGTCGCCTGCACGTTCATTCATGCGGCCACGGTGGCACTACTATATATACTACATGTATTACTAGTTAGTACGTTCGACATCGATACGTAGCGCTCATGATAATTTCATGATAATACGTGTAGGTCACTCCTGGCGACAAGTCTGCTCTGGTGACAACTACATGTAGATAGTCTAGAAGTAGAATGCCTTGCTGAATGAATGAGCGGCAATTTCTGACTCTTCAGTCAGCGCTGCTATTATCCACTGTACACGCAGCACTAGAGTAACACCAGTCCTGTCATACTCATAGTCGATCCGGTTGGGACGTTCGCGTTACCACCTGGTCCAGTACTTAGAACAATGTCATGTTTAGACCTACCGAAAAAGAGGCTAGAAAATTAATAGAATAGCTACTTATTAGTAACTTAGATCTGATGTAGCCACACAGAGGGTGACAGCGCCATGCATACTCCATACCTGGCACTCACGGCATGCCATTGCTGGCGGTTGCACATGCATGCCAAGTCAAAGTCGAAGGCATTCTCAAAACGTCATTGCAGCAGATCGGAGCCGAAGGGGAAAATACGTCTCGGACAGGATATGCCTAGAAGTCACCAGAGGGTCAAGGTCATCATGGTCCTTTGGACCTTACGCATCCATGAGTTGAAACTGGCCGACTTTTAAAACATGTACATGACATACATGTATGTCATGTACATGTATGTCATGTACATGTATGTCATGTACATGTACATGTATGTCATGTACATGTATGTCATGTACATGACTGTGCAGTTACAGGACCTACATGTACTTATAAGACCTGCAGCCTGACAATGATATTAGTCTTTCCCGGATGACTGCTCGAGAAGTACAACACCGTCCGGAGAGGAGTTTCTGAAGCTAGTTTCAAGGATAGCAGAGAAAGACATTTTTACCAGAATAATCGCCATTGTCCGCCAGCAGCAACACCGATTCCTACGCACGCGGTGTCTCGAGGACTTTTACTCTACTGAACGACTCAGGTACGTGACTTCTATATAAAAAAGGTTTTTTACATTTTAATAACTTAATATAGCGTAAGGCCACCCTTTGTTAATTCATTGTTTAACGTCCTTTTTTTCGCGAAAAGGTACGCGGGAGGGCGGAAAAAAAACAAAAGCCCATTCCAAAAACTGGAAACCCCAATCAAACATTTTGACCAGTAAAGCATGTGATATTATACAATATTTCTGGGTCTAACGGCACTTTCAAGCATAGAACAACACTCTTTGATGGTACATTGGAGCACATGCCTGATGAATCCAACAAAACAGGTACATACCATGGAGTTAGCATGTCATGAATTCATTACATCTGGATTTTTACTAGGGCACACACACACCGTACGATATTTAAAAGCCAACAAAAAAAGAAAAAGAACACAAGACAAAGGCATGCCCGGGAGGCAAGATTATAAGTTTAAGGTCATGATCGGCACACTGTGAAACTACACAATCATGTATTTTACAACTTCGCATATTATTGGTACTACTACTTTCTTGTGTTTTTTTTTCGGTCGTAGGCAAAAAGATACGCGGGCACGGACGTTAAACAACGAAAAAAGAAAGGGTGGCCTAACTTAAAAAGTGTGTTGCTCCCTACATGGGAGCTCGCGGTTTTCCTGCCGACTTGAATTCTCACTTGACTGACTCACGACTGCCATCCAGAGGACACGAGAAGTCCATCGAACCGTCCACTCGGCAAACCAGTAGTTCCTTGGTCCTTTTTTTCTTCTATACAAAATTGATAATGATTATGTCATTTTATTCGTATTCAGTAGTATAATGTGCGGTACTCAGGTTGGGGAATTCTGATAGTTTCGGGTGAGTTTTGTCCTCTGTTGGCTCCTTCCCACTGCGTGTAGCCTTAGAGAAGTGGAAGAAGAGGCGACTACACATTGTATGTCGTGGAGGACTTTCGTGCTGTAGTTCAAATTCAGAACACAAGACTGCACACTTGTTTCCTGCCCAAATTAGCCTCTGCCAACCGTGAATGGACCGTCTTCTTGCACTGTTGCACACAGCTGCAGCCCAGACCAACCACTACGTGTACAGTCACTGACACCTCTTGATCTAGAGCGTCCACACATACATACAAATACACATGCACACACACATGTATACACAAACACCCACACACATACACACATACACCCACCCACACACATACACACCCACACACCCACACACACACACACACACACACACACACACACACATACACACACACACACACACACATACACACATAAATACACACACACACACACACAAACCTCAGACCTCAGACCTCAGACGTGCCCATCACGGAAGCGATGATAGCGAACAGCTATGTCATAGCAACTTGTGCTGGGATTACACCATTCAACAGCTTGCAAGGCTGATGAATAATTGACCGCCACTATTTTTAGCCTGGTATCCACCACACAGCTGTTTGAAGGAAAAATGAAAAATAGGGATTCACTGGCCAGAAAAAGTCACACACACACACACACACACACACACACACACACACACACACACATACGCACACACACCATGTACTGTATACGCCCGTCGCAGGAGAAGCACGCAAATCTGCAAATGCACTGGATGCACACACACACACACACACACACACACACACACACACACACACACACACACACCACACACACACACCACACACACACACACACACACACACACACACACACGCACACACACACACAATCACAATCACACACGTGACGATCCTTTCGCTCTCTCTAAGTAGTTAGTGCCAGTGTGGCATAGTGGTGTACTCGCAGTCATGAGTCATGACATGACTCATGACATGACTCATGAGTTCGCCATGACACATTACTTTCTGTGTTCACACTTCACAGAGTCGACCTGGGTCCCGGGGCCACCCGAGCGTGGCGAGTTTCGAAGGGTGCATCGTCGTCGCGTCATGCTAGGCAGCATGAAGCCATCAGCCACACAGTTACCCCGGTCGCTTTCTCGGTACTGCCTAATGCTGCTGTTCTGGCAGGGGATTTTCTGGACAAGAATCAGCACAACCGCGTCACCCCTGGCCCTGGACCTGCGTGTGACAGCTTGGCAGCCAGCACGGGAAGGATTCCCTCAAGGTAAGCCACTCCGCAGCTGACATCGAGCGGACACGTCCCGCTAGCGTTAGGTGATTCATTCGTCTCGCTCTGTTGGGAAATTGTTCTTTGCGGAGAAAAACGCGTTTGTGCACACCGTGAAAACAAATGTTGATAGAAGTGCTGATAACCAGCTTGCATGCAATATTTCCTTTCTGTATCTAATGTTGACTCAGTAGATCTACGAAGTCAATATAGGAAATAAAAGCAGAGTTAAAGACCGAGGCGAAGCCGAGGTCTTTTACGAGGTCTCTTATATGATGTCTTTTATTTCCTATACTGACCAAGTACGAATTCAATAATTATTATTAGATTTATCACGACTAAACAAAGCATGTGTTCAATCGCTAAAAAGGAGTCAAAATATAAGCGGTCAATATAGCCCTAAGGAGTGAAATATGCAGGAATATTTGACTGCTTAGGTATAGCGAAAATCTATGGGAGTCAATACTAAGGGAGTGATAAAGATAATTATTATTTCGTAAGCTTGGAAACTGTTCTCGAGAGAAACATAGCCGACGTTGAATTGAGCAATGTTCCACAACTGAATTCGAAAGTTCACTCCCATGCCGTGACTTTCGTGAACGCATTTCGGCTCTCTCTCCAAGCAGACACAAACGATAGCTCGGTTCATGCTGAATTCCTGGATAAAATTACAGGAAGCATCACTATAGAGTATTTTGTATTATAACCTATAAGTTAGGAGACTGATATAACTTGAAAAAAAATTAAATCGAAAAGGATTGAAGACCTACTGTTTTTGTGATATGAGTGCGCATTATAGTTTTATTCATTGCATTATTAAAATAATGCAATGAATAAAACTATAGGCGCACTCATATCATAATCATAGCAACAAATAAAGTATACCAGAACGTTTTCTCGCCATAATAATTATTGTCAATGGAAGCTCGTGACTGAAGAGAATACCAGACAGTGAAAACGTTCTGGAACACTCTATTCGTTACTATGATTGTTGATGTGAGTGCGCAATTCCTGCGCATATGGCTTTATTCATTGCATTATGAAGAGTATTGTCTCCACGTTGACCCACTGTTTGCTAGGTTTAGTCATGTGATCTTGGACATACCGTGTAGGTTTCTACCACCCACTACCACCCACGGTGGTGCGTTCCACGGGTAGTTCAGAGTACAGTAAAATCTGTCAAGGCGACCACTCGGCTAAGGCGACCACCTGGCCCAGAAGACCACTGCAGCCAGGACCAAGGGATGCTATTTCCAGTCAAATGGCACTGGATAGGAAGACCACCTGGTTACAGAGATCACATTTTGAAGGTCCCTTGAGCAGTCGTCTTAGACAGGTTTCACTGGAATTCCAATGAACGGCAAATCCAAAAGTTTCTCGTTCACCACATCATGCATGGCTTGTCATCCTTCTGTTTGTCCGTGATTAAATAAATTATTCGTGAAATGTCGATGTAGCTGGTACTACTGAGTGAGTGAGTGAGTTTATTCAACTATGGCATCCAAGTGGGTTTATTCAACTATGGCATCCAAGTGGGTTTATTCAACTATGGCATCCAAAATGAAACCAAGATTTCATTGTATATTAAATTTGTATTGTACCTCGCAGATTTGATTAAGCTACCTGACATTGCCGTAAGAAACACCTCTAGGAAGGTAGGGGTTGGACATGGCAGCTCAGAATCATGGAATGTGTCATCCCCGGAGGAACACACAGACCGCAATGATGCGCTCATCATCGGTCCTGATAATATGCTGGCAAGTAACTTGAGCCGGGTGAAGTTAGTTGACACCGCGGATGTTGATCACAGCGACACAATGAAGCCTACTGCTGCTGCGAACCAAGTGCGACGAGTGCCATCGGAAAGCCTGCCGGGGCTGAGAGTTTCGCCATCAGCAGTTCCTCGACCACCTGCTGTCCTTGAACATAGCAAGAACACATCGTTTCGGGGAATACTGGACACGTCTATTGTAGACCATGGGAAAACAAGAGGTAAGTCCAAAAACTTACATACAATCATAACGAATAGAGCCGATGTATTAGAAAGCGAATCACAAGTCATTGACCTTGCCCAGGGACTTATACAGAGGTTTGATTGCTACACCGTGCCCACTAACCTTGTGCAATACGCCACCGTCCATCAGGCTAATCACTGCAACATTCCTGTTTTCAAGCAAGCTACATGTATTGCTCTCACCCATCATGCAACAAATTCCTCCAAGGCGTCAATGGGTATCACGTTCTCTGTGCGATGAATTCCGCAGTGCATTCTGTTGAGCATCAGTCTTCTGATGATGGCAGAGAGCAAGAAGCTCTGGCTGTAGGCACACAGATTTTCTTCCACCAGACCTTGTTGTGTGGGAAAGCTCTGCAGTGTTGACCTGTCAAAACTCATATCAAGCATCCGGACTTGTCTCTAGCGATCATGCTGTGGCTAGATTCTGCATATCACACGCAGAGCTAGGACTAGGAGACTGTCCTTGTGGCAACAAAACCTGGGTCCAGGCCCGGCTATGAGCCAGGTGCACTACATACATGTATCGTACTTTCCGGAGTATAATCCGTACTTTGAACAACACTCGAGCTGCACACCAGGAAGGTGGAGCGGCTTGCACTCCGACAGTCAAGTTAACGGTGATAAATATGATAGATGTCTGTATTTCGTGGCACAAAAACGGGGTGCAGCTTATTTTTTTGCTTAATATTATTTGTTTATACTCGGGAAAATACGGTACATGCCACGTGTTGAAATTTAGATTCTGAAACAGTGCCGTTCACTGCTCACAGGTAAGATAAGCTATTCCGCGATGTATGACAGCGTATTCTGACCCGAATTGAGCACACTGGACAGCGATTCACTGTGCAATGTGGATTTGAACGGCCTATAGGTTGCGCTGCATCAAAGAATTTCTTCGTTCAGAAAGTGTTGGACATCACGCAACTGCATTGTAAATAAAAGGGGTTTTTGTCAACTGACAACCGCTCTATTCTAGAGTAAATAGCAACTATATAGAGCGGTTGTCAGTTGAACAAACCCCTTTTATAAAGAATTTCTTGCGAATATTATTTCAATATGTTGCTGCTGTTGGTTCTCCGTTCCGTTTTTTCCGTAGATAACATGTCCTGGTTGGGCCTGGCAGGCGGTGGAGTCTGCTTTCTACTGATGGCCAGTGTGATTGCCATTCTTCTTGTCAATAAACTAAGGACAACACATGGACAGAAGACAATGACCCAGCGGGAGGAACTGGCTAAACTCAGCCCTTATGGAGGTATTGGTCTGCTTTATCAGCTAACATGCAGTCTTGAAGGGGGTCATAGTTTTGTTCAACATCCATTCAACATTTTTTTGAGATCCGTTCGCCCTTGCTACTGCTTTAACAGGCATACTCTGATTTGTGCTGCAATGTGATCTGTGTGTTCCTTGTCCTCTATCTAGGCGCTCATGGTCTGCACCCTCCAGTGTATTCCCTCCCTGGTCTGGTACACACCACTCCTAGCCCAGCTCTGTTTGAATCCAGCCACAGTGCGGTCGTGCAACCCATGAGCATTCCGAGAGAAGGGCTCGTTCTGGCTGAAACCCGGCAACTGAACAGTTCTGACTCTGGATACCATAGCAACAATGAAGGCACAGAGCCTTCGCCAATGGCTGGCAGCGCCTTGCCGTTTTCAAATACCGGAATGGCCCTCAACAAAGTCGTTTCCATGTCACACATTCAGAATGACTCCCCGGTCATAGATGGTCGATGTGTGAGTCAAACACCAACCATTGCCCCTGCTATGAATCAGGCCGAGCTTGTCAATGGTTCCTGTGACAGCTCTAGCTTCTCTAGCAGCTCCAGGATGCGCCTAGCATCTTTCAGCACATCCGTGACCAGTTTGGGATCAATGTCATCTCGTTTGTCTTCCGCCGATATCCAGTCCCAGGCCCTCGCATTCGTACGGGAACACTGCAACTTGTTCGACGGTCCTCGTCTGGTGGATGTCATCAACACTGACGACCTGTCCAGGGGAGAACACCACATGCTGCATTACTCCGGTTGCCACTTCCAGCGTGATCCCATGCCTTCCATCGAGTCGTTATTTTACGACTCGCATCTCGCCTTTGCCACCGTGACGAACGAGGGCTTGGCACCGTGGACGGCGCATCAGTGCAGTGACATCATTGCAGTAGCGAACCTCTGTGGGCCCGTGATGCAGTCCATCATTTTGACGTTTGACTTGCACCACAAGGTGAAAGTGACCGGCGGTCAAACCAACCTGGTGATCATGAACTTTGATCACGAACAGGAACACTGGGTCGTAATGAAGCACGTACTCACTGCTGACGTGTCGTCAGATGGCTGGGAGGCTTCGACCAGAGTCACCACACATGGACTGTATGTTGTCATGGAAACGGAGTGTGACGACTCCACCATCCTGGGTTGCGCAGTGCCAACAGTCGAGACGGCACGCATCTTTGCACATGGCGGTACCGAGGGTAACGACAACGGAACGCATGCAACAACCAGACCGATAGAGGATAGTAACCCGTCGTCCAGCCTGGCAATGCAGCGAGCATCACTCAGAGCAACACGATTGCACGGCAATCTTGGTCATGACGATGAGGATGACGATGACGACCCTTGGAGAAATCGCTACAAGAACAGTGTGGCCGGAGAACCAGAGGTCACTTGGCCACGGTATGCTTTCGTTATGCTTGTCTAGTGTGCATTGGTCGTATTTACCGTATTTCCACAATTATAAGTCGTACTCGATTATAAGTCGCACCCCCATTTTCAGGTTTGAGCAATATTGTTGCGATATATTCACTTCATTAGTAAGTCATGCTCGATTGCAAGTTGCACCCCCTTTTTTACCCTAAATCTTAGTGTAAAAAGGTGCGACTTGTATTCGGGGGAAATACGGTATACGCATCTCCGTAGAGGGCTCGGATGATTTTGTGCTTTGGTTAGTATCTTCAGTTTTGCTCTATGAAATCCAGTCGCGTCACTCAAGCACATGCAGGGCGTTGCGCAGCCCTAGCCCTGCCAACACTGGGCTGCGAAATGGTGCGAGGGTCAGACTTGAGTGACGTGACAGGATTTCACTGAGCAGGACTGTACATTGATATGGGATGTACAGTTATTATGGCGTGATGTACGTGTACATCAATATGGCATCCACATTGCTATGGGATATAGCTTCCGTTATCGAGATACTTCGAAGTAATTGATTCAGGCACTTAGACCATCCCTATCGCTATCCAATTTCAATAGCCATATCTGGACAGTATTGCTTGATGGATTATGCACTTCCAGGCAGGGCAGGAGCGGGGAGAGACCAGGAAAGGAAGGAGAGAGAGAGAGAGTGAGAGAGAGAGTGAGAGAGAGAGAGAGTGAGAGAGAGAGTGAGAGAGAGAGAGAGTGAAAGAGAGAGAGAGTGTGAGAGAGAGAGAAAGAGACAGAGACAGAGACAGAGAGAGAGAGAGAGAGGGGAGAGAGAGACAGAGAGACAGAGAGAGAGACAGAGAGAGACAGAGAGAGACAGAGAGAGACAGAGAGAGACAGAGAGAGAGAGAGAGAGAGAGAGAGAGAGAGAGAGAGAGAGAGAGAGAGAGAGAGAGAGAGAGAGAGAGAGAGAGAGAGAGAGAGAGAGAGAGAGAGAGAGAGACAGAGAGAGAGAGAGAGAGACAGAGAGAGAGAGAGAGAGAGAGAGAGAGAGAGAGAGACAGAGAGGGAGGGAGGGAGAGAGAGAGACAGAGAGACGGAGAGAGAGACAGAGAGAGAGAGAGAGAAAGAGACGGAGAGAAAGAGAAAGTTCTTTTTTCCTACTTGAAGTATGTACGCCTGTCAACGTCTTGTGTTTCTGTTCTTGTTCTGTTGCCCTGCTCAGCAACGCGCTGTTTACTATGCACACTCTGAAGCACCGTGAAGCAGGTGGTGAGGTGTTGGTCATGTACCGTATGACACTCTTGCACGGCAGATACCGGCCAGATCATTATCAACTCCGTGTAAGTGTGCCATGCCGAGGTTTGCTCGCAGGGAGGTCAGAAATACTATTGCGTGATGGGCAATGGCTGTCGATTGATCTTACGAATGAATAGAATGTGTGCTGAAGCGTGCACTGATTTACTGGCCTCAAGTTCCATATTGGGGAAGAGAACTACAAGGGAGAAGGAATGCGAGGAGCGGAGGGGGGGGGGGGGGGGAGGTGATATGAAGGAAGACCATAGTTCTAAAATGTCATGATCTGCCCCAGAGTGGGTCAGAGGAGATTTTCTGTATCGCAGTAACATCATGATCCTCAAACATGAAGGTGCAGATGGTGCTCCGACTCGGCGGGAACTGGACCTGCCACAAAGATATGCCAGGAAGATTATGATGCCAATGGAGAGCCTTTCAGTTCTGACTGCTCACTGTGTTCATATTTGCATGTCGGCACTGACAACTCTCCGTGTTTGCATGTACATGCCGGTATTGACAACTACCTGTGTTTGCATTACTGACTACTCACTGTGTTCATCTATCTGTCTCTATTGCTGTGCTTGCATACAGCGTATACGTGCAGAGATGGATGCACGGCACTTCAGCACAGAAATGAAGAACATCGCACAAGTTCAGAACCTACAGCAGGATCATCTCATTGAGGTGGTATTCAGTCATCCGTGCCAGGGTGTTTCAATACCAGAGCACTACTCAAGCAGGGTAAGTCTAGCGCCCCATGCCAAACCATGATCAAGGAGAAAGAATTGTTTGGGTTCCTTCATTGGACTGCTGGCTACTTGAAGCCTATCATGATATATCTTGGAGTCATAAGAAACTCCCTATTTTCTTTTCTGTCTGTGTATGACTCTCTCTCTATCTCTTCCTTTGCATCTGTCTCCATGCTTGTATCAATATTTCTGTCCCTCTGTCTCTCGTTATCTCTCTCTTTCTCACACTCTCTCACTCACTCACTCACTCACTCTCACTCTCTCTCTCCAGTGCATTGCTGCAGCTGATCTAGAAGCTAGTTCAGCAAGTGACTTCTACGTTCTCTTGGAGCTAAGCAAGGAGCCTGAAGATGCTACAATTTCCCTGCGGCTGATCGTAAACAAGGTGACTGGCACAGGACTACGCCAGGGTGTTTCCGTCTACCCTTACGTAACGTTTCCGCTGCCACCTTGTCACGACGGTCCGGCAAACAGCCAGACCAAGGGTGAGGATGATGCAACTGGCAGAGCAGCTACTGCAATAGTCAGTAAGTTCTGTGTGACAACTGATATGAATCGAGTGTATGGTGTATTAGTAGTGTAGTGTGGTTTGGCAAATTAGATCATCTTCATTCTTTGTGGTTAGTCGTGAACCTTGGGGACGTGCAGTTGTGGCCTCTCACCTTGTCAATTCCCAGCCACTGGTTGTGGAACTCTGATTTTTTTCTGTGCTGTGTGTGCTTAAAGGGGAAGTATACCTTAAAATCAAATTTTCACCAGTTGTAGTCTTCGCGGTGCTGAGTCGAATGGTCTTAGTCCGAGGAAGCTGAGACGCTCCCTTCCTCCTTTAGAGCGCGTCCAGACTGGCGTGAAAAGCAAGCGGAATGTGAAAGTTGTCAAGGTGAATTGCTCACGTGACGTTCCCGCCAGCGCAAACACGGGAAAGGTTTCCCACCACTGTGCAGGCCGGTGGAATGCAGATTCCGGCGGCACGCAGGAGCACTTTAGATATCCTTGCACTACATGTTCCGTCTTTTCTTTTATTTCAGCCTCTACTCTTTTAGTCTGACTGCATGCTTTTGAGATTTGAGTTTTGACTTCTAGACTGCCAACTTCTCACATCATGCCGAAAACTTTGTTCGACTCGGCAATGGAGAGGAGTTCATGGAGCTGTACGTGGTGATTTTTGCGGGCTCTGCAGGCAAAACCTTGACTTCTAGCCTGTTTGGGCCCGTTCTTGTCACTCGAGTTGAACCTTTGAACCAGGGAGTCGTAAAAGCCTCTTTCGACTCCCTGCTTTGAACCTTTGAGTTGAACCTTGGTGTGAAAAGTGTAGCCTGCAGGTACGGTGACCAGGCGACTTGTGTACGCATGAGCACGTGACCGCTTACTCAACCGCGTTCGGTTGGGAATAAGGGCCGAGGGATGCATGGCAGCCTTTTCGGACCAACACCATTCGACCCAGCGGCTAGCATATGGACCAATCGCAATCATCCGTGCTTTTATAAGAACGAAACGACGTTTTTAGTGACTTTTTGCATACAAGTTCCTATCTAGTAAGGCGCAGTCACCCGGTTTCGGTGGAAGTGCGGGAGTTCGATTGAGAATAAAGGAGGAAGGGAGCGTCTTAGCTTCCTCGGACCAAGAATATTCGACTCAGCACCCCGAAGACTACAACTGGTGAACATTTGATTTTAGGGTATACTTCCCCTTTAACAGATCAAGCACAAAGACAGAAAATATATTCAAGAATCTACTGTCATTTTCCAACTCTGTGCAGGTGAAGAGAAAGTGGTTGAACCGATCGCATCCACCGATGACAATGAGAGTATCATCAGCATATCAGTGCATGGTCGTGTACAGCGGCGGTGCATCAGTACAGCGACGTCATGCGCATCGAGCGTGCACACAGCATTCAGTGTGGCCCGCGTGCAGCAGGCCGCGCACATTGCAGGCAGCGGTGAGGCAGAGAATGTGCCAGTGGAGGAGAGCCGCCAAGAAGCCAATGCTGTTGCTAGCTCTACAGTAGCAGCACTAGTGGTGGCTAAACCAACAGCACAATCGATACATCACACCGACCTGGCACACCAAGACCAGATACGATTGCGTGGCAACCAGACTCCTCGGCATGATCTGCCAGTGGACATGCTATATCAAGGTGAGCAGCAGGGACAAGCAGCACACTACCAAGACAACACCTCACAACGTCAAGGACAGCATCCAGCAGTTCAGCCCCAACATAACCGCCATCACCCACTACGCCAGTTTCCAGGCCAGGAGTATCAACACGAACAACAGCTATGTGAACCCCACTCTGGCCAACACGAACAACAGCTATGTGAATCCCACTCTGGCCAACAGCCTGTCATTGAACAGATACACGTTGCTGCAACGTTACCTTCAGCTGCTTCTCAACCTGTGCAGTGTTCGGAGAACAGTTCCGGGTACTTGTCTGCTGATCACGACAGCGATGACCTGGCAAGCAGCAAGAGTAGTGTTGGGAACGCACCGATTGCCGGCTGTAGCGATTCCGGTAGGCACGTATTACACACAACCGGTGTATTGCTTCAACCTGAACATTCTCCCAGGAATAGTGCTGCTTCTTCTGCTGCTTCTGCCTCAGACCCGGTGCGAGAATCTGAGGTCTGATCAGTGAACGGAAATGCACAGCATGGATAGATACTGGTATATGTACTTAGAGGCAGGCATACATACACTTCAGGCTCTTGAACATTTTTTTAAGTTTTCACAAGTATACTTGAATCCATTGTTCATGTTCATTTGATTTTGCCTGTATTTCAGCCTGAAGTGTGTCCCACTTCTAAGTATAATAACTGCATTCCTATCTCCAAGGAAACTATTATGTGTAGATAACAATTCAAATTGTGCCCAACAGCAAAGAAGAATTACTAGCCTTGGTAGAGTGGTGATACATGGACATTGTCATATTCTCTTTATTTTCACATTGTTTTCGCATCGTTTCCATCGCTTGACATTGTTTATCAAATTAATTCAACGTCATTTCAGCTAGTCCTCCTCCTACATTCACGGCACCCAGCATAACACAAGTAAGGTAAAGAAGACCAGAGTCTAAAGCTTTGAAGAATGAAGTTGAAGACACTAATGCAGCTGTACATATGGTAGATTCAAATGGTAGTAAATACGCACCCATCAATATGGCGGTAAATACGCGCCGGCCCACACACGCTATCTAGGCTGCAAAGTTATCCTGGCACAGAGCTCTCTTTCTCACCACCACCACATCCACAAGTTCGCGCTTGATCGATGCATGGCTCCAACCCCATTATTTAGTTTAATTGCGACGCACCTTTCGTCCCCGCTGAACTCATCAGGCAATCTTCTTTTTGCCTGTCTTCACACGGAGCAGCGCTTGACTTGGACAGACCAGAGTCTAAGGCTTTCTCTAATTATTTTCACGACTCTGACTTACCAGCAAGAGCTGCGATTTTCCATCTGAAACCACCAGTGCAATGGAGTGGACAGTCACATTACTCCTTAGCAAAACACCACCAACCGTGCACATACGCATCGAGGTTTTTTAAACATTTTGTTTGTTTTGCTTTTTCTTTAGTTGTTGTGTCAGGCCATTGATACCATGTTCTGTGATTGCCCATATAAGAGGTTTATTCAACATACGCCTCGGGGCTGAAAGGGTTCTTTCTACTACGAATAGGTTAAGTAGTAGTAAGCTCTACAAACTTCGTGAACAGTATACGCAGAACGATAGTTGTAAAATTATAACTCAACAGGAACAGCATGGACTTGAAGTTCTGTTACAAGACTCCTACAACGTTATTGCTAATAAAAGGTAATATTATATACATAATAATAATTATCAACATTCACAACTATCACACTGAGTATGGATACCATGGAGTGGTTCGTGCAGCTCTTCTTCTTATCCACATCAACATTTACGATGATGAGTGAAATCTCAATTGATCTGTTATGAAATCAATAAAATACGAACCATGTCTAAAACGCATCCGGTAGATGACTTCACATTCGCAAATGATTGTGCGACTGAATGGTTCAGGAATGTTCGAATAAAAGTTAAAGCAGTAAAGAAATTCCTCGATGGGTGCTACCATCATAGCCTGAAAACTCTTCAGCATCGCGTTGTTAGGGTGTGTGTAACATAAACGCACATGATTATACCGTGTTGACAGGTCCAGACCAACTGTCCCTTCCAAAGAAACAAGTCGCGTGCATGGTATGACGTTTTCTTTAATGAATTGCGCAAGTTCTTCATTGACGCACGTCGTGTTCGTACTAGCTGTACATTTTAACAAGCAATAACCTGAGCTGTATTCCCGAATAATAAAGATAGTGCAATGTGTTCCTTTAGAGTCAATGCAGACGGACCTGGTTTCGATTGCAACCCCTGGGTCTTCGTCTAGGTTAAATCCACCGACCTCCCGTTTGTCTTCCTCGCCACATTTCCTACATATCGAATTCAGCTGGAAGCACCATCGCAGTGCAGGATCCAGCTTCTCCTTGTAGAGATTAAGCAAAGATGTGCGCGATGATTGGCCACCACACAATAGTCTGGTAATGTCCAATAGTTCGGATAAGCTCAGCTTATCGTTCAGTTGTGAAACGCAGAAACGTGATCCAGTGTGAAGAGGGAGGGACTGTGGGCAAGAGGGACACTTCCACCCAAACATTGGCTGACGTAGGAAAGAAACGAGAAATGTAGTTCTTTTTTTGTCTTTCTTTTGCATGACGTAACATTTGCTGCTCGCAAATGCGAGATATTAGGAGCATGCGCTCCGGCTGCGGCATTCTTTTTCTTCTTGCTTTGCAAGTGTAGTGCCCATGCCCGCCCTTCCTAGTGAAGGGTTATTTTGTTGAGTCGTTTGGATATTTCCGTAGCACACCGCTGGCGGTGTGCTCAGATTGCAGACTGCACTAATTTCGATGATCTAGTTTAAAGCTGTTTACTATTGTCGCCGTGAGTTGACAATACACTTGCTTGCTGTTGCTGCTGTCCCCCCCCCCCCATTCTTTTTCTTCTTGCTTTGCAAGTGTAGTGTATTTCTGATCCCGTTTTTCAACGAACTTTCAGGATCCTTTTCGGAACATGCCTCCCCGTAAAAGGACCCGTCGTGCTGCAAGCGCAGAACCCGCACGACTGCAGGCTGACGCGCAGCAAAACACGATCGAAGTCCATGCGGCGGCGGCACGCCTGGAGGAGCAGGCAACTCGCATCAGGCTGCTCGAGGCCCAAATCGAGCTCGAAAGGGCCAGGGCCCCGGAATCCCCACGCGGCAGAGGTCGCAGACGGAGGCGTTCTTTTTCTTCTTGCTGTTGCTGCTGTCCCCGCAGAGGCTGTTTGTTGTTGCTGTGTGCGTGTGTATGTTGGTTTGCACGTGACTGTGCATGTGACTGAGGTGCGTTAGGGGTGGGGGCACGTATGGTGTGGCTGCACACAGGAGTGAGAAAGAGAGTAAAAAAGAAGGGTTCTTTCTACTACGAATAGGTTACGTAGTAGTAAGCTCTACAAACTTCGTGAACAGTATACGCAGAACGATAGTTGTAAAATTATAACTCGACAGGAACAGCAGTAACGGAGGAACAGACTTGAAGTTCGGGTACAAGACTCCTACAACGTTATTGCTAATAAAAGGTAATATTTGAAACTCGGGTATTGAGGCAATAATAAAAGTAGAAAGTAAAAGGACATATGGAAACGTGTTAAGAGTAACTCTCCACCACTGTAACTAGATACTATAATACAATCAGAAAGTGCAACAACTAGGCACAAAACTGACAGAGTACTTATGTGCCTAGTTGTTGCACTTTCTGACTGTATATAGTATATAGTATCTAGTTACAGTGGTGGAGAGTTACTCTTAACTCGTTTCCATATGTCCTTCTTCCTTTTTACTTTTAAAAGGTAATAATATACATAATAATAATTATCAACATTCACCACACTCACACTGAGTATGGATACCATGGAGTGGTTCGTGCAGCTCTTCTTCTTATCTACCTATACATGTACCATGATGTACTACGCAGTGTGAAATCTCAATTGATCTGTTATGAAATCAATAAATTGGTAAGAACCATGTCTATAACGCATCCGATAGATGACTTCACTTTCGCAAATGATTGCGCGACAGTATGGTTCGGGAATGTTCGAATAAAAGTTAACGCAGTAACGAAATTCCTCGATGGGTGCTTCCACCATAGCCTGAAAACTCTTCAGCATCGTGCTGTTCGGGTGTGTGTAACATAAACGCACATGATCATACCGTGTTGACAGGTCCAGACCAACTGTCCCTTCCAAAGAAACAAGTCGCGTGCATGGTATGACGCTTTCTTGAATGAATTGCGCAAGTTCTTCATTGACGGACGTCATGTCCGTACTAGATGTACATTTTAACAAGCAATAACCTCCGTTGTATTCCCGAATAATAAAGATAGTGCAATGTGTTCCTTTAGAGTCAATGCAGATGGACCTTGTTTCGATTGCAACCCCTGGTTCTTCGTCTTGGTGAGATCCACCGACCTCTAGTATGTCTTCCTCGCCAAATTTACTACATATCGAATTCAGCTGGAAGCACCATCGCAGTGCATGATCCAGCTTCTCCTTGTAGAGATTAAGCAAAGATGTGCGCGATGATTGGCCACCACACCATAGTCTGGTAATGTCCAATAGTTCGGATATGCTCAGCTTATCGTTCAGTTGTGAAACGCAGAAACGTGAACCAGTGTGAAGAGGGAGGGACTGTGGGCAAGAGGGACACTTCCACCCAAACATATCGCGATACCCATCTACATTCATCAATTCACATTTGATCTTGCAAATCGCACAGTCGACACTACGGGGAAGAAGTTCTTTCTCTTGCATGAACTCAATAAGGGCCCTCTCCCTTTCCTCGAGGAACGCCGTAACATCATCGGCGTCGTCAAACACTTCGGCACTTGATACTTCTGGACTGTGTTCAACGGTGAGATATGAAGACTTGCTACTACTTTTGCCCTTCTTCGACCCTGCAGAAGCAACGCTACTGGAACGATTCTTGAGTAGCACTTCATCCTGCGCATCCAATGGGTCAGTAATACGAGTGCGCCTTGCCGTTACCTTGCTGACACTGGCTTGTTCTTGATGATCCTTGTCCTCATTGTGATCGTTCATCTGTGATTGACGAATGGGTTTTGCGGGCTCGTTTCTTATTGCAATACTTCGCTCTGGAAGTGCGATAGAGACATCAGAGCGTGCTTTAGGACTGGATATCTCGTGTTGAGAGGTATTTGGCTTCTTAACTGAGAGACAAAGGCCCTCCGCAACTGCGAGGTTCGCCCCGGGTGTATGAAGTCCTCTGTCTCCGGGATTCGTAACGTTTACTACATCTTGCTGATCCTTTGTGTCTTTCTTGACATCTTGCTCAAAGCCGCCATCTTGAGGCGCAGAGGTATCCGAACTAGCTTCGGGTCGCTCATGACCCATTGTAGACATGGCGTGAACTGCAACGCCAGTTCGTACTGACGGTGAACCGATTATTCCAGTAAAGCGGTGGTAACTTACAACTATATGTTGTCACACATCATAATATGGGAGACTTGCAGGATTGAAGGAAGATGGCAAGGTTTCAACAGGAAGGCGTTTTCCCTCGCTCTTCGTCATTCAGGGACTCTGTTAAAGTGTTCACCGTACAGCGAAGTAGTCCAGGACAAAAACTCGAACAAACTAACGAAACTCTTTTCAAAAAAGAGGACGTCGTGACTTCAAACTTAACACTGAGCATTGGACTATGTGCCGCAAGATTTTATAATCCAGTCAGGATTGTGCGCTAACTCTGCCTCAGAATAGCGCGACACTTCGTGCGATCTTTCAATGTACTCAAAACTGAGAAATGAATTTACCTCTTCATTGATTTGATTTGTGTTTTCACGTGGTCACGTTCGCGATTTTAGCATCAATGTGTGGTATATGTACATAGTGCTGCAAAAACTTCCCAAAAATTCGGGTGTTACGAATTATTGCTGTATAGATTTGAATTGTTGTTGTATAGATTATAAATAAATGTAGAAGAGAAAAGGACATATGGATACGAGTTAAGAGTAACTCTCCATCACTGTGTTGAGATGTGTTGAA